TTATATACCCTACTTTAATTTTTTTTCACCCTCAGTCTAACACCAGGTGTTGGTTGCATCAGAGCTGGATTCTTTCAGTGCTGTTTGATTTTACCATGTCTAACATCAGAGGGTAATAGTACAATGCACTAGGATATCAATGGAATGGATATAGAGGGTTAATTTCAATTTCCTTTGTATGCCATGCTTGAATTTTTTAATGCCGGGTGGGCCGGTTAATAGGTAAAAATGTCAATTTGATCAATTTGTTGTGTATGGCAACTTGATTATGGAAGTGCTCTGACTGGAAACAGTCAAAGTCCTTTGTTTGCTTTTTCAAAGTTTATAATATATGAATACATTTATCTATACCACCTGCATGATCTGCTTAATAATATATGTAACAACCTTTGGGCTACATTTTATATATATCTTTAGAGACACCCCGGCAAGTCACGACAAGGGTGAACTAATTTTTTTTTTTGAATAAAATTACCCATTTCACTGCGAAGTGCCCAATTTTCAGCAGTTTGTTAATATCTAAATGTTTTTGTATCTTGCCTAATGTTGGACAATTTTATTTGCCAAGAAAAGTGTGCAGCTAGACTCATGATGTTTCATGCCCATGATGTTTCATGTTGACATATTTGGATGTAATTTTCCTTAACACTCCCTACTTTAAGTTCTGCACACAATATTTAACTGTGAGGTCTCAAGCTAGACAATTTTGCTTATCGACTATGGTCTGCTTGCCCATTTTTCACCTTTTAATACTGACAATTAAGCTCGCATGTATTGGCAATAACTGCTTCATGATCTGCAAGATGCTTGGTGGCATGGGTCTAACTGCTAGTAGACTACTAGACTGCTCATCCTGCAATTGATTTGAAACCCAATGGTGTAATAGATTCCTTACAGTTACTCAAACGTTGGTAACTCTGACTGTGGTAAACAATGCCATTGATTTGACACTGCTTAAACTGCCATATTCACCCCTGCCGCCCTTAAACTGCCACAACCTAGCATTGAGAGCTAATAAGAATACAAACTGTTTTATGTGTATTATATGTTATACAATTTTAAACGATAATATACCTGTCAACCATGGTACTGCATTGCTAGTTTTCAGCTAATTTGATATTATTTCATTACTATTTTTTAACTGGTTTTAATTATCATACTACAATTTTATTACTTTATAAAGTAACTATGTTGCAGTGCTACTATTTTTATATAGCTATTTTATTGTTATTTTATAACTATTTTATTGCTACATTCTGACTATTTTATTGCTATTTTATGACTATTTTACTATTCTTTTATTGCTATTTTATAACTATTTTATTACTACTTTCTGACTATTTTATCACTATTTTTATACTATTTTATAAGAATTTTGAACTATTTTTTTACTATTTTGTTCGCTATTTTATCACTATTTTAAATTCTACTATTTTATTACTATTTTATCAGTATTTTATTCATATTTTTAAACTATTTTATCACTATTTTTGCAGTAATTTTATATATTACTATTTTTAGTTAATATACTGCAGTTGATCCACTATTTTATATGTATTTTCGACTATTTTTAACCTATTTTATGTATATTTAAAATCTATTTTATTACCAATGTTTCACTTTACTTTATTATATATTTTATTTCTATTTTGCACTCTATTTTAAATATATTTTATGCTATTTTAAACCTATTTTAATCTGTGCTTCACCGATTCAGAAAAATAAAATCTATTTAAAATAGGCTATTTTTTGTTTCAAAAAACCTATTTATAATAGCTATAAAATACAATTAAAACAGAGTTCTAATAGGTTTAATATAGGATTTCTATATGTGATAGCAATATGATAGGGTTAAAAATAAAATAGCTTTTCTATAGCAATAAAATAGAAAGTAAAATAGGGATAAAATAGGGTTAAAATAGTGTTGATTTTCGTAAGGGTCCTGAAAGAAACGAAGATCATATCGGGAATGTACCCTACCGCCAGTTTAGAAGAAGGCGGATCCGCGGATGTAGTTCTAATACCGAAAGAAAAGCCCATCCAGGATATCAATCGTCAGTTACGCCCTATTTCACTTACACCTATTCTATGGAAACTCGCAAAAGTTTTTGTTGTAATAATTTATGTCAAGCCAGCGGTGATGGAATTGATCTATAGTAAACAATTTGGGACGATGCCGGATAGTTGTACAACATATGCTCTTATAAGCATGCTACACACTTGGAATAAGGACACGGATGGTAACGGTTCAACAACTCGAGTTATGACGTTTGACGTATTATATGTTTTATCGCCATGCAAACATACAAATAACTTAAATTGTTATATAGCTAGCGTGAACACCAAACGTGGTTGGCTGATTTGTGGTCACGTGACTTCAGATAAATGCAATGTTTCCCGCCGGGCAACAAGTGAAAAATTGTTGCCCGGCCCGACCGGCCACGTACATAAATAAACAAAATGGAGGCACAACTCAGATAATTAGAAACTACGATTTTCCAAGTTTGTGTTCAAATATAAGAATATAAAAGAGAAGAAAAATACACAACAGGCAACAGGATATGCTGCGGAAACCGTTTAAGCAGGTTCTTTTAATTTTAAACTCGTTTACACTGTAGAGTTTTTGTCACGAAATACAATTGTTGTATGAATGTTGTTGAAGTTGATTTTTGTTCGTCGCTATATAACAAAACACTTAATTCCTGTTCCCTCGGGAAATAGTTTTGTTTTCCCTCGAATCTTAATGTTTCCCTCCACTTCGTCTCGGGAAACATTGAGATTCTCGGGAAAACAAAACTAACTATTTCCCTCGGGAGCAGACATTAAGTGTATATATTAATAGTATAACATACCGAGTACTGTCATGCTTTGGATCTTAGACTTTTTGACTGACCAAGAACAGAGGGTAAAACTCAGCCAAGATTGCCGTTCCGAATGGGGCTAGGTCCCAGCCGGCGTCTGTCAAGGCACAAAGCTCGGCCCGTGGTAATTTTGTATTATGATTAATGATCTATGTAAAATTGCTGTGTCTATTCATCTCAAATAACCTGAAGTGGAATAGTCATATTTCACACATTTGTAAAAAGGTCGCACCTCGTCTATATTTTTTAAGACAATTTAAACGAGCGAAATTACCACCTAACGACCTAATCCTTTTCTACTCCACCTGTATTCGACCAGTCATCGAGTATGCGTGCCAAGCATTTCACGACTCATTACCCAAATATCTGTCTGATGATCTTGAAAGACTTCAGAAACGAGCTTTCAGTCGAATAATTCCCAGAACAACACTATACAAAGAAGCATTGAGGAACACGTACACCCCATCACTTTACGATAGAAGACAGGAATTAACAACAAAACTTTTTAAGGACATTGTCAATAACCTTGAGCACAAATTAACGGATTTGATACCGACAAAAGCCACTTTTTTGCGTAAAAATAGGAAATTTAGCCTGCCACTTCATAAAACGAGCAGATTTAGGAACAGTTTTATCACTTATAACTCTAATAAATTTTCTGAATAACTTAGAAACTGTTTTTACCATGAATTTAACCTAATTTAAATTATTATATTATTAGTAAAATTGCGCGAGAAACTGTTTGTTGTTGTTAATAACCTCTGGTAATCTAACTAACAAAACTTACTTTGATTGACTACTATTTACCGGACATTCAAATATCTCAAAGGGGGCGTATTGAAAAAATATCAATAGAAGTCGCAGCCTCAATATATAGAGCCTGTGAGCAGGCTAATATCAGGCATAAAAATTAGCCGAATTCAAATACGTATAATTTTAAAAGTATTCAACCAAATGTTATGAATTTTTCTCCCACCAGCGTGAAAATTATTCTACTTTGAAACTTGCCTTGTTTTATGATGCTTTTACAGAACGATTATGGCAAACTTTAGCGATAACAAGCACCGGGTCTAAATACGGCTTTGTACGCATATCAAATTCGACTTTAAATTTCTCAAAAGTGGCACCTAATTGGATTCAATGACTAATATGGTTAAAAAAATGGAAGTTTGAAGTACCAACATCCATAATAAAACTTGTTACCAACCGCGATTTGAAGACTCGACCACAGGCGGCCCAATCTCAGAATGAATGATCAGGTGTTGCGGGTTTTTAACGATTTTATAAACAAATTTATAGTCAACCAAAACTATTTTTAAAACATTCTTAAATTAGTCAAATAAATACATTTTAACAATAAAATATAGTTGACATGATAGTATAATACCTTTGCATTCTTTTAATTAATCCATGAGCTCATTTAGAGTGGCTGATGTAACATTTTCTGTAGCCTACATTGTGTGTGCTCATCTATATATAATATAACAGTAAAATCAAAGTCAAATATCTCCGCTCAAACTTGTCGTACGCCAAAACTAATTCGATTACATCTTTTCACAAAGATTTCTCTTCCTAAATAATGTGGTTTGATCATAGTTTGGGCAAATTTAGCGACGAACGGAGCCAAAATATCCTCAATTTCGGATGCTGTTCAAAATACTTAGGGCTGCTCGGGCACGATCGTGGACGTGACGTAATCAATATACGTACTGACAATAACGCCTTACCGCCTTACATGGGGTGGGACAGCATATAATGTCTCACCCCGGGTAAGGCGTTATCGTCAGTATGTATTGATTACGTCACGTCCACGATCGTGCCCGAGCAGCCCTATAAAGTATTTTGAACAGCATCCAAAATTGAGGATATTTTGGCTCCGTTCGTCTCTAAATTTGCCCAAACTATGATCAAACCACATTATTTAGGAAGAGAAATCTTTGTGAAAAGATGTAATCGAATTAGTTTTGGCGTACGACAAGTTTGAGCGGAGATATTTGACTTTGAAGGCGATGGGGTCGTGCCGCCAGTGATTAGCCTTTTACTGTTATATTATATATAGATGAGCACACACAATGTAGGCCACAGAAAATGTTACATCAGCCGCTCTAAATGAGCTCATGGATTAATTAAAAGAATGTAAAGGTATTATACTATTATGTCAACTATATTTTATTGTTAAAACATTTTAACAATAAAATATAGTTGACATAATAGTATAATACCTTTACATTCTTAAGAATGTTTTTAAAATAGTTTTGGTTGACTATAAAATTTGTTTATAAAAACCGTTAAAAACCCGCAACACCTGATCATTCATTCTGAGATTGGGCCGCCTGTGACTCGACAGCCTCTGAAATTTGATACAATTTGGCTATTTTGTTTAGCTTCAATTATAGCGGAGTTGAGACGTCAGAGCTTCCAGTCACTTGTAAAATGCGCTGTTGTTCCGTTTTCTTATACAAGCCGTTAATATCATCGTAGTTAAGCGATTTTTCTGTGTTCATGAACATTACAAGTGGATTTAATTCAAAAAGATTTCGATCGATGCAGCGAGGTAATATTAAACGTGGTACGCTTTCGTATTAAAATTAGCTACTCGGGGAAAACCCGGAAATTCTTATCAAATTGTCAATGCTGATATTTATTAATCTAAACTCTGTATGTCTATTCTGCACGATTGGGAATGAATTTAAGAGGTTATCTCTCTAAGAACCGACCAATGGCTCTAGGCTCAAAAAATGAAATTCTTCGTTACTTTCACAATCTCTTTTATGATTTTTTCGCCCACGCACGTGAAAGATATTCTACATTGAAACTTCGCTGGTTTTATGATGCTTTTACAAAACTATTATTATGGCAAACTTTAGCGATAACAAGCACCAAGTCCAAATACGGCTTTGTACACATATCAAATACGACTTTAAATTTCTCAAAAGTGGCTCCTAACTGGATTCAGTGACTAATATGGTTGAAAAAAGGGAAGTTTGAAGTACCAATATCCACAATAAAACTTGATTTGAAGACTCCCAGAGCCTCTGAAACTTGTTACCTTCAATTATCGCGGAGTTGAGACGTCAGAGCTTCCAGTCATTTGTAAAATGCGCCGTCGTTCCGGTCTTTTTTTCACACAACCGTTAAGCGATTTTTCCGTGTTCATGAACTTCAGAAGTTGTTTTAATTCGAAAAAATTTGGCTCGATGCAGCGAGGTAAACGTTACAGCGAGGTAAGCGAGGTAAAATAGAGTCATTGCTAATTTTGGCACTTACCTACAATCGTCCACAAAATATTTGAGACAAACCCCCTCCCCCGATTTCAATGTTGTTAGTAACTACAATATAGTTTAATTCCAACATCATATGTTAAATTTCAACTGCCAGTGACACAGCTGCGGTGCTAGTGTCACCTTATGTTCGTTTTGGACAAGTACAGTAGGTCTCAACATTGAAATAAGGGGGGAGGGGATTGATTTAAAAAGTCTCAATATATTTTGTGGACGATTGTAGCCTGCATGGCAGGCGGTATTTCTGCGGGCAGCGAAAATTAGGGAAGCAAAGGAAATACCGTCTGCCGCAAAACTAGGGGTTTTTGAATTACCCGTCCGCTGGTGAACGGAAAAAACGGATTGGTTATTATTTTTATGTAGTTGTCAATCAACGGCTAAATTCGGTTAAATGTTAATCATTAACCAAATGTTTTGACGTTTTGAAATTAGTTCACGTCAAGTCAGACCAGAAATGGAACCAGACACAGTACTAAAATGCGGTGCCCGCCTACAAATAAAACTTTCGGCGTTTCCGCCTACATGCACAAGTAAAGTTATATTTAGCACGCTATACATTCTCCTGTCGGCTGCCAGTTGATCCGTACGTTAGGATCAAAACTGCGTTTTAAAGCCTTCAAAATAAAATATTTTGGGCTCAAAATACTATCAAAATGAGGAGAAAAGTGAGACGAATCCATTGGCATACGGCCGAAAACGAGAAAACCAACAATTCCGAATTTATCAAGGTCAAATGGACTGCATTTTTAATTAGTTTAATAATTTTGAGCGATTTGTAAACAATACAATTTCGCTTATTAAAACTGCACATTAAAACCTTCAAAATATAATATTTTGGGCTCAAACTACAAACAAAATAAAGAGAAAAGTGAGACAAATCGACTGGTATACGGACGAAAAAGAGAAAACCAACAATACGAAAGTTATCAAGGTCAAATGCATTGCATTTTTAATTAGTTTAATAATTTTGAGCGATTTGTGAACAATACAATTTCGCTTGTCTTTCAAAGGCCATAAATCGCTAGAATACTGTAGTTTAGTAATACATTTGACTTCTGTGAGTATAATTTCTTACACTGAATCGAACGGTGGTATTTTTGCCTTATTGGGCGCATAAAACCAGAGATAAGTCGCAGCAAAAAGTCAATCGTGAAAGTTCGAGATTAATTCGAAAGAAAACTTTCCTCGAAAAAAGGAATTCGGAAAACGTGAAGGATTATATATTTTGAGCGGCTTTTGTCTTTTAGACCGGGCTGTGGTGGACTTTAGTACCACCTGAAACCGGAGAAATCCGGATGGGTATTTTCAAGCAGGTACAGACCTGGGTGTTTCGAAACGCGATCGTAAACGGAGGGAGTCGGGTGCGTTTAGCCGCAGGGGGTTATAGTGAAGTGATGTGATGTAATATACCTGCAATTGTTTGTATTTAGACACATACATCTTCGTACATCTCATTATGAGTTATTACGATACAGGTATATATGTAATTTTGTAAGCTATTAACAAACAAATACGAACAAACCTGTTTATTCAGCTGTCAAAGTCACTTTCTTCCTCACTCTCGAAATCTCTATCAAATATTTTATCGTCGTCCAGTTCATCGAGTTCAGGATTAAGTAAAAGTTCTTCTACATCATCGGGAAATTCTCTTACCAGCCATTTGATTTCACCGGTCGATTTCCATCCATGATGTGAGATTTCTGGAATCTGTAGTTTTGCTTCATCTGACGACTTCCACATCTTAGCAACAAAGTTTGCTGGTCTGCCGTGAAGTTTCAACACAGACTGACACGGTGGTGACAAAGAAAGATCAACAATTTTTGAATGTTTTTTGTACTTTGCCTGAAACATTTGGTGACGGACGAAATTAACGCTCTTTCTCCGATAGCCATACGCGAAGCATACAAATTCTTCAAGAAGGTCAAATATTGCATCGCTGAGATTCCAGTTCACTCCCAGGTTTTGAAAAGCGTGGTAGAATTTCGGATTTGTTTCTAAAACTTTCCGGCAAAGTTCTTTTCCATTTCGAAAGAAAGACGATACAAAGTAATTTCCTGTGAACGCGTGAAAACCAATAAGGCATTCTTTCAATGGCTTATTTAAATCAACACTGTTTAGCCACAGACCCATTCGATTCTGTCCACTTCCATAATCGAGAAAACAATTTGCTCTCTCTTCAATAAATTTTTCGATCATAATTATTGTGATGTCGGTATCACCTGATGGTGATCGAAGAATGATACTCTTGTTCAAAGAGCTCGCTAGAGCACTCTTATAGTGCAGGACGACTTTCGTGTCTGCTTCTTCCTGGTTGCTTGCAAGGCCTTCTTTGTTGCAAGTACAGTTTTCCGTTATTTTGATACAATCGTTAAGGGTGGAGAAGAAAATTTCTTTGCAGTCTAACATTTCAAGTGTTTTTTGTTGGTTCTTCATCAACACTTCCCTCATTGGCATAATCATCCTCGTCTTGTTCTTTCCATTTTGTAAGAAACCACGAAAATCTCTCGGGATCTTTTATTGGGGTGATCGAATTATAATCTCTCTTGAACTACCTCTTCTACAGTGCTCAGCCGCCTTAATGGAATTTTCTGGATAGGTGTCTGCAACAATGTCTATTCTGGTGTAGCCTGTTGGTATTGTCTTGATAAATACCCACGTCAAGTCCTCGATCGTATGTTTCAGGAATACCTGTTATCATTCTTATATTTGCCATGAGGTCGATGATAAAGGCTGCAACACTTCCCTTTTGTGGTTGATTTTCTCTTGGATGAGTCAATGGCAATCAACATCTTTTTCTTAGCACATCCAAGAGTTTACTTTTAGCAGTTTTCCGAGGTGTGCTATCAGGGCATGCCAAGCTAAGCGGGACAGAACAAAGTGGATATTCTAATGCATTTTCAAAGTTGATAACTTTTTCTGTCTTCGCTGTCAAAGCAAGAAAGGTACCCAAAATGTCTCTGTTGACTTCTACTGTTTTCACGACAGTACTTCTCGTCAACGATACCTTCTTCGAGGATGCCTTGAATAATACTAAGTTCCTCCTCTTAATGAGATCATGGAAAAGTATTTCTTTCTTCAGTATTCTAACAGTGATGAATGTTTCAAACAACGCTTCTCCTTCTATTCTATTATAGTTCATAATTTCTTCGCTGATATCCTCTTCTATCGGTGTACCCGAGCCCAAGTTGTAAAGAAAACTGGTATCTAGTTCCACATCGAATGGGTTTAAATATTCCTTGCTTAACGTGTTGAAAACACTTGTAGTATAGGACTCCGACTTTAGGATCTCGGATGGTCGTAATGACTTATATACTTCATTTGAGAGACTCATGCACGCCATTTCAAAAAGTTTCGCCTTGTTTTTGGCTTCCTCTGAACGATTCAGCGTCCACTTCAGAATGGCATTGCTGTCGTTAGCAAAGCTTTTTATCCCCCACCCCTGCTATCTTTGCGTCACGGTTAATAGTTTGCTCCCCTCTTTGGTCAGTTGCGGTTCTCAAGTCCTGATTTGTCAAGCATTTCCCTTAGGCCGGGATGGAGAATGTCAATATTTTGGAAGACTCCAACGTAGTACGATGCGTATCTAACGTAGTTTTGCTTGTTCAAAGCAAAATACATCGGAAGAGAGAATTTCCATACCAATACCCTTTGATCAAAATCATTTTCTTGAACAGCTAGGTGTGTCGTTCGTATCCAAAATTGAGCAGTTTTCCCTAACGCACCATTTCTTGCTTCCTCCTTGAAAGCTTGATATTCTGAATACAACGATGAAGCATTTTCAGTAATGACAGCACAGCTTGCTATTGGATCAATACATGCATCATAGAAGTAATCTGGAATGGCGATATTATTTTCTTTCAAAAATATCTGGAACAAAAGCCTTTCCAGAGCTTCTGAAAATGCAGAATGAACAATCCATGCCCTATTGTAGTGTGATCCTGAGAGAACATCTTTCAAACTGCCATACGAGCATACACCTGCTTGATATACGACATCTTCAAAGCCCGACGCTTCAACAATCCCACCAATGACACCAAAATTTTCTTTAATGAAATGAAAATCTCCCAAATGGATGACAACATTGTTAAATTTCAACGGAAAATTCCAGATGAACTTGTAGGCATTCATTGCAGCACTGAGATCCAAACATACGTTGACGTAAGGCATGTTTACTTCATTTGCTAGCTTCTGCATGTACGTAATTTAGGGGGTCTATTATAGGGGGTACGCATCTCCGAAAACCGCGCTGTTTTTCAAATTTTAACCGCAACCCGCGCATTCATTTCTCTTTTAAACGTAACCGCGTTCAAACCGAGGCATAAATGTGGTAACATATTTCGCAACATAATGTGAGACAATAGACCAACGGTCAGTCCGTAGTCGCCATTTCTATTGGAGTATTGAAGAGGGAGCCGTTCACAAGTTTCACGCGAATTTGGTAGTATAACGAAGTCTTAGCAGTTCAAATAGCTTATAGCTATTAAAGGGCTTTTCTTCCATCGCTGCTTATGTTTTGTGTGAGAATCATGCAATCAAGTTGCTTAGGTTTGATTTCATTTTTTCGGGCAAATATTTTATTATTACTTTGAGACTGATTCCAGTTCGTAATTAGTAGCAATCGGCAAGTCAGAATATTAAAAGACATGTTTTACTAATTTTTCCTGCAACTGAATTTCACAACCTAGGTAATTTTTTTCTCGAATTTTTAACAAATTAAGAATTTTTGGTGTTCTGTATTCCGGAATGATGCTGCTCCGGTGTTCCTGATTTTACTAATAGCGCGGCCACTTTGCCCATTTGATTTCGTCCGTTTTGAGGTCCTGTGGAAAAACACACATGCACGCGCGAACGGAAGATGAATGCCTGCATAAAAACTGAATTATTGCCATGAGCTTGTAAAATATTTCCTAACCGCATGCTAAAAACTATCCGAAAACCGCTATTTATTTTTGGTCAATAACCGAATCCGGAGGGTTAATTTCGACATTTTCCGTCTCCGCACGATTTCCAGTTAACCGCAAACCGTTATAACCGAAATCCGACCTCAAAATATGGTGAAATCCGCATAACAGCGAAACTATAATAGACCCCCAATTTAAGGTACTGGTTGATGGTACTGAATTCTGTGACTTTAGCGTTGATTGGTGGAAAGTATGTTGTCAAAGTCTTATGAACTGTTGTGTTTTCCCCAGCAATTCGGTTTTGCATTTCCCATGCATGCAAAGTAAGATTTTACGTTTTGATCGCCAAAATTAATCAGTCGAAGTATCATCCACGTCAGGAAACGTTCCGCAGACAGTCTCTGGCTTAATTTTCACTATTTCATCAGCTGAATAATTAACAAAACTGGGAGGCTGTCGTCAGTCTGGAGACGAATTAAGAATGATCTAACTGACGAGGGAACCGGGCGAGTTTCAGCAGCAAGTTCCTCGATATATAGTGGCCATTGTAATTCGGTAGAATCTCGCGCGTATTCTCGTATGTCTTCTCGAAGATATTCAGCCGCTTGTTTGATTACTTTCTCGCGATTTTTCAATAATGTATTCTTATTTATTTCCTTCACGGCTGATCACAACTTGAAGTGTTTTAGCGTCAATTGTTAAAAATAATAATTGGTCAGAAAATTTTGTAACAATCCTATTTTTTAACTTGCTTCTATATCTGGTATGGAGACCATATAAATCATGCAGTAGCCTACTGTCATAGAGATGGCCTGATTCTGGAATAAAACTTTTCGTTGTATGTAATCTGTTACTTTGTCGAAATTACCTTTCGCATCATTGTCTTCAAACTGTTTAGTATTCGCATTTGCTACTTTTCTTGTAAATTCTTTGTAACAGAAGTCATGATACTTGGAACTCTTTTGCTATTAAATCGATATCTCTAATTTCATAAAAGAGGTTGGTGTCTTTCGCTTCTGCCGGATTCCTTGATTTGCGCAGCAGCCATATTGGTTGCTATTGTGATGGGGAAATGTAACCTTCCATTCTTTTTTACCCGGTATTTTTTGCAGAAATTGCATTCCTTTGGATAAAGGTTACGAAAGCAATCAGTGCTGGATTCACCACGCTTTAAGCGCGTTACATTTGGTTGTGAATCGGGAGAGCTTTCTGAATGCTTACTTTTTTCTTGAGAAAGTATCAGAACAAACTTTTTATAGAACGGTTCTAGACGAACGCCGTGTAACGACGGATTGAACTGATTTAGCTCTGGGACAGAATCGCACTGTTTTTTGTGATGGATAGAGCCACCCTTTGATTCTCGTAGAGTTTTCGCTTGCTGAATTCGTTCCAAGTTAACTTCTGACAACTGTTTTATGTTACTGTGTTTTCCGTCATCAATATCATATAAATGAACCACACACTTTAAGTCTGCCACATCTGCAAAAATTGATTCAAATTATCTCAGTAACATTAATAAATTTTAGAAAAACTGACTTTACTTTTAAGCAATATTATTGTATATCTGCAGGTGAGTCACTTATGAATTCTTTCAATTCCAAATTAGCATTGCCTTTAAAGGACTAGTGTCAGGGTCATGCATTGCCGGCTTTTGTTATTGTTTACATTTTACTTAAATACAACAAATAGCGATAAAAATACCTTGTTTGGTACATTTCTGATAAAAATAAGACAAAAAGAGCAAGGATTGATAAAAGGATGGTTTAAATATATGACGGATTGTAAACACTTTCCAGCAGGAGTTTGAGCCCGCGAATTCCTGGTGTGACACTAATCCTTTACAAACTTAGCGCATGCCTAAATTTAGACTTTCACAAATGTTTATGTATAATTATCATATGAAATCGAAAAGACAAAGTAGCAATGAATCTCAGTTAAAATTTCAAACTGCATTTGAATACCATTACTAGGCAAAAGATAAACTTGGCAAAGAAATAAATTGAATGTAAGCGTATTGCCTATTGATTAATATCCAGTAATGTCAATGCTACTAATGCTTATATGGCACATGCTAGTCCCACATCTAAATATAAATATCAAAACAATTAATACGCTTACCAAGTCGCTCTGACATAGTCTCAAAAATCATAAACAAGCATAAGAGATAGCACGCTATATACACGCCTTTCATTGAGAATTCGTCAAAACATTTCAAGCTTGATTAACAGTCTTCACAGACTTTACATTCCAGCATGCAACATGTACAATGCACGTGGAAAAGAGGAAGTCAGGATTCCGGATGTTTCCGGTTAATTCAATTTAAGTTTTGAAGCCTTATGCAATTCAGCATTTAAGCATATAATATTGAAATAGTTCAACATGGGAAATGAGTTAACCAGGTTTTTTTTCCAGGCAAGGATTAACCAGGTTTTTTTTCCAGGCAAGGATTAAAATCAGGTTACTCCGCAACACCCCCCCCCCTGTCAAATAAATTCAAAATGTTTCATACCTTGTTTAGCAACACATGTATAACTTCCGCAAGCAATGGAAACTCTATTTCTAAACTAATTTATGTGTAATGAAGGTTGTGGTAATAACATATCACAAATTTCAGTTCATTAAATTATAAAAATCAGTTTATTAACTATATGCAGAAATCCCAACATTTCACCCCCCTGCGGCTAAACGCACCCGACTCCCCCCGTTTACCATCACGTTTCGAAACACCCAGGTCTGTACCTACTTGAAAATACCCATCCCGATTTCTCCGGCTTCAGGTGGTAGTAAAGTCCATGATGGCGACTTCATAAAGACTTAAACACCATGTGAACAAACTGACACATTCATTTTTCATCCATTTATTTAACATTTAAATACCACAGTGTAATTGTCTATTCGTGGGAGTGTGAAACCCAATTTCAGATATATAATGCTTGCAAATGCTAAAACCAGCGCTCTGTTACATTAAAACTGAACTTTTTTCCGCTAATGTTCTTTTAAACTAATTACACACTATATAAATTTGATTCAAATTTCAATGAAACAAACCATTCTGAATATTTCAGAATTCTATAGCACCAATCAAGTCCATTCAACTCTGCAGTGTCACTTATAATTTTGAATCTATCCAGTTTAAACATGCACAACTTTTAAAAATTATCTTCAAATAACAACTGACGGGAACGAAGAAGAAATACGAATAATTTTCTCAAAAAGGAATACAAACTATTACAAACAAGATAATCTCCATTTTTACTAGTAAATCTTTCATTAATTAAAGCTTATTACTTTTTCAAACGCACAGTGTCTGGTTTCAAATATAGAACAACAGCCGTCCGTGTATCTTCCCAATCTTGCTTGATGTTCTTTTCAAAGGAATTCGCAATTGTGTGCTCGCTCGTTCTTACACTGATACAGAAATCATGAAACTAACTTTTGCGTTCTTTAAAATGTAGTTCAGCGCGAAAATAAAGAAATTGGACTCCCAAACACTAAAGGTTGAGATTCAAAAACTAAACGAAATAGTTACATTGTTGAAAGAGATGCGACGAAAGTATTTGTCTGCAGAAATTTCAAACGTGGTATGAAGCAAAGGATAACTAAATAATTGACACCCGCGAAGAGGCAAGACTTATAATGGAATGGCTTTTTGATCAATATTACAAGACGAAACCGTTATTATGAGGTAAGATGTATAAATTTTATCAACCAAAGTCTAGTTTAAAATGTACTGATGCTTAAAAACCATGTTCCCCGGCTTAAAGTTTTCTTCGCTACAGTGGAATATATTTTCGTATCGGTTTTTATTATATACACAAGGTCCGGATATGAGGTATTCTGCAATCTGATTGGTTCTCTACTAGCAGGATATTAGCTCATATCCGGCTCAAACTGAATTTCCGACATCTTGCGAACGATAAAACGGCAAGTTGTTCGCTTTTCATAGCCTTTACAGGATTAAAAACACAACGAAAAAATTCCCACAAATTGTTTACAGGTTAGCAAATGAATTTTTAAAATTTAAAATGGTTAAAAATACATATTTTTGAAAAAATACTCGGCCGAAAGAGCGAAGATAAAAACATAAACAAAATAGAAAAATATTGAAAATATCCGAAAAGCAAAGTCTGTGAATTCAGACCTTGTGTATATAATAAAACAGTTATTCCACTCACTCTCGTCGAATATGAGCGATAGCCGATTCGGCGCTACGCGCCTCATCGGCTATCTGCTCATATTCGACTCGAGTTCGTAGAATAACTGTTAAATATTGAGGTTTTAAATGGCTCATACACAGGGCTATGAAATTTGAATTTGATATTTCAAAATGGCAGACATATTTCATACTTGCATTTGGTTATTCTGCTGTGTCTGTTTGCGAGTAAAAGCCATTGCTTTTACAATAGACTTGATATAGTTGTAAAGAACAAGAACTATTTAAAGATTCCAAATTATTGAGGGAGTTTTGTTTCCTTGACTTGCCCTGGGATTGGCGTGCTCATGACGAAAGTATATAAAATTCCAAACTCCTTGTCTTGTATAAAGCTGCCTTCGCGCCTGGCTATATGTATATGTATATAGGCCTGGTTTTTCGTTAGTTTGCCGATATCACGGTAAGAGAGCCTGTCTTCTTTTTCACCCGAAGATATAAAGATTTTTATCAAGAAAGGAAACACGAGGCGACATCCTATCTGTGCCAGGACAGCCTTAAATATTTCAGTGAAATAAATCTATTTTGGATCCGTAAGCCCGGATCTTCATCAGTGCTAATAATATGAAGATGATGAGGATGAAGATACGGAATCTGATGAAGATCCGGGCTTACGGATCGAAAGCTTTGCAGTAATAAATTTACGTGGTGTTTCCACAAACAAAAACAATTATATTTTATCGCCATGCAAACATTCAAAGAACTTATTACGTTAATTTTGTTTTAAACTAATTACACACTATTTAAAGTAGATTCAAAGTACAATTAAATCATTCTGAATGTATCAGAATTTTGCAGCAATAACCAAGTCCATTCAAATTCAATTGCGCATGCATTTTCTAAATGAATGCGCGGAAACTTTCCTTTATTTCCTCACCCTCTGCTTTTTGTTGCGCCTTATCTTTCAGGCAAAAATACCACCGTTCAAATCACCATAAAAATTCTACTTATGGATGCAAAATTCATTTCTAAACAGCAGTATTCTAGCGATTTATGGCCTTCGAAAGACAAGCGAAATTGTATATTGTTGATATAAAATAGTTCAAAATTATTAAAAGAATTAATAATTCAGTACGTTTGATCCTTGATAACTTTCGTATCGTTATTTATCCCTTTTCTGGCCGTATACCAATGGATTCATCTCACTGTTCGCTTCATTTTGATAGTATGTTGAGCCCAAAATGTCTTATTTTGAAGGTTTTAAAGCGAAATTTTAATCCTATAGCGTGTGCAGCTAGCATACTTGCTTCTTAACAAGTGTATTTGTCACAGTAAAACTGAATTGTCAAAGTTGCGTATACAGACAAGCAAATAAAAGTTGCCACATATAAACTTGTTCATAGAAAACTTGCTCGTCTGTAACGCGCTTGTCTTAGGGCGCAATTCCAGTCCTCGCACGAAGCTCCTCGCAGCTCGCTGCGAGTTCATGCATGAGCACATTCATCCAATCACAATGCTTAAGAGTTAATGTTAATTAGATGCAAGCATTCGCAGCGAGTTGCGAGGAGCTTCGTGCGAGGACTGGAATTGCCCCTTTAAGCCACGCAAATCCCTCGGTAAACAAGTAAACCTTGGAAATCTAGTATACCCTGATAAAAATCCTTGTAACCTTGTAAACCTTGGTAACCTAGTAAACTCTGGAAATCTAGTGTACCCTGGTAATTTAGTAAATCCTTGTAAACCCTGGTCATTATGGAAATTATGAAAAGGGGTGGGCAAAAATAAAGGGGGGACATGGGTATAAATAATTGACTAGAAGGGGGGGGAGTTAGAATGTTATTTCAAGAAAATTGGGGGAGTTAAAATGTTGGGGTGCAATTAAATCAGCATCCTTAAATGGACAATGTGTTTTTACATCAGCTAGCTCTATATTGACATGGTTACAATTACCAAGACCAAATGGATACCCGGATTCACTGTTATATATATAAAACTATATTCCTCTTTTAATTATCAGTGACATAGCCTCCCCCCCCCGGCAAAATACTGCCCCCCTCCGTTGGAAAAATTCTGACCAGTACACACATGTGAATTATATTTTCAATTCGTGTACTGGAAATGTTATATCGTCCTATGTTTTAAATGTTCTGGATTCGTTTGTGATTAAGTAGAGTTGTTATGTGTTAAATTGTTATTTAGAATCACCAAAACACATTTAAATAGTCCCCAAAATGCTGAAAATGGCACGTTATCAACGCTAGAATTTAAAATTTTTCCCTGGGGCGGGGGAGCATACCCCCCTAAAATTTTATTGTGCTATATTATAAGATAACTTTATTTTAGCAGGGTGGCCCATTCAGCACTAGGCTGGTATCCATAGGGGCCCTCATATTATGCATGCATAGCGTGGGAGTCCAAATATATTTTCACATAATAAACAAACTTTGTTTGAACAATGGCAGGGTAAAATTGCTTGGGCCCCTCCTGATCTTTTTTCGCCCCCCCCCCTTGTCCTTGACTAGAAATCCTGGCTTCGTAACTGTTAATTATAAACGTTGGCAAAACAGGTGCAAAACACCAGCTGTTGAAATGTTAAAGCCAACAAATTTTAGACTCTTTAATACTAGACTCTTAAATGCTGTTTGCCCTTGATTATTTCTATATGATGGATCATTGTTTATGTATGGATCGATGCCACACCTTTAGTACAGAATTTTAATTAATTTAAAAAGTGATACCGCAGACGTTGTACGGAAATACTTTGTCTTTCAGAGAACTGATCTGAGAAAAATGAAAATTGGGAGCAACGGGGAGCTCAAAGAAAAATGTTGTAATATGAAGTGGATGGAGTCACCCTTAAATATCTGCTTTTTTAAGGGGGGCTTTCAATTTTTAAAATTTAGGGAAGAAAATTCCCCTCCCCCTTCCATAAATAAATTATGACCGGTCCCTAACCTAGTAATTAAACCCTGGTAACCTAATAA